CTCCTTATTCCTCCGTGTGTTTCATTCCTTCTATCTCCTTCTTGTAATAAACGTGACTGTAATCAGTACTGTCACAGGTAGTCTAGTTGGTACCCAAGTAAACTTGTTTCTGCAGGAGATGTCATTTGGAGATTATGGTTAAATTCCTAGTGTGGTATCTGTAACTCTCTTGTTTGTCTTGTCCAGTGCACGGGTTCCTAACTCATGGGTTGTGACCTCGTTTACAGGCACTGTACGGTGGCTGTATATGCAAATTTGAAGAAAAAAAAGGATAACAAAAGAAAATCAGGTCATTGCATCAGCCACAGATATGTTTGCTGAATGTATGAGCTGCTCAGCTTGTGCTTGGTTGATGCTTAGCGTTACTCCTGCACTGAGAACCTAGCCTTGTTTTGTGCGAGCGGCAATGGGTTTCTCTTCAATTTTATACTGAGAAATTTATTTTCAATGTGTTTTAATTAGGGTTGTATCGAATCTTCGCTTCGTATTCGCTTCGGTGCCGATTAGTCGACCTATTGACTATTCGGTATTCGGCCGAATAGTTGCGGTCGGGCCGAATACGAATAGCAGATACCGTACACCTGCTTCTGCACACACTGCCTTAATGCTGACAACATTGAAAGATTGGTTTTGTTGAAAGTTAATGCAGCTTCCATGCATTAAGCTGTCAGAGACAATTTCCAAGTTTAGTTACTTGTTATAATAGTTAGGATTATTTTATTCCTAGTTATTAGTTACCACAGACTGACTGAAGGATGAAAAACATAAATGTTTTTAAATGTTTACTTTTTTGTACGAATACTAACCAGACATAAAAAGAATATAAACGAATGGAAAAATATAAGTACTTGGGTGCAAACTTCAACATGCTAAGAGAAGAAATACAATCTAGAATTAAACTATACTATGCCCTTCAACATCTGCTAAATTCAAAGTGTCTGTCTCGCAACACCAAAATATATAAAACTTTGATAAGACAAGTCGTTTTTATGGCTGTGAAACTTGAAGCAGAAATAAATTAAATGAGGCCTTATTACAGGTTTTCGAAAACAGTCTAACGACAAATCTTTGGACCTATCAGAGATGCTAACAGCGGGAAATGGAAAGTGAGAAGCAACAACGTAACACATATTCTGTTTAAATCACCACTGATCACTGGCATCATGAGAGCTAACATACCAAATTGGTTGGGGTATATTGAAAGAATGTCAGATGACAGAGAAGCAAAAACTGTATACACCTGAGAAAGGAATGGGCATAGACCACAAGGCAGACAAAAAAGAAGTTCGAGAGATAATGTCCAGCCAGACCTGCAAACAACTCATCATCATCATGTAGCAGGTCTTTTGCAGAACGTCGCTCTCATCACAGTCTGCCTGTAAGAAACTCGGTCTCTCGCCAGCTCTCCCGCCTCATGAACTTTCACACTCAAGGAGTCACTTATATCCTGTGCCCATCTTCGTGTCGGTCGGCCCCTGTCCCTCCTTCCTGGTACCATGCCTTCTGCTATAATTTTTTCCAATCCGTTTTGGTGCTTGATATGACCAAAATATTTCAGCTTTCGAGAAAGGATGCTGTTTATTAGCCAATCTTTCTTGATGTTTAGGTCTTTTAAGATGTCAATATTTCTCATCTTCTTTGTCCAAGATATTCTGAGAATCTTTCTATAACAGCTCAAAAGCCCCTATTCTCTTTCTCAAGGACTAAGAGATAGTCCACAACTCACATCCGTATGTAGCCACAGGAAAGATGCATGCTCTCAAAATTCTAATTTTGATCTGCTTGCTGGTGCTTTACCATAGACTTTTAAGGCTGTTCAATCTTTGCATTGCTATGGCCCTCCTCCTTTTAATTTCTGTCGAAAAGTCTCCATTGTTGTTTATTATAGAGCCTAGATATTCAAAGTTGTGACATCTTCAATTTCTTCATCATTTATTGTTATTTTTGGGTGACAGCCAAACAACTGGTGTCACAAATTGTGAAGATAACGCCAGCCAGAGAGACGAATGGAGACGTGTGATATCTGCAGCAGTAAACCTCAAGGGCTCATTATGCTAAAGAAGAAGATGACTATTCTGTGCTACTTAATGTGAAGTAAAAGTTCAGCGTACATTTGACATTATGACATTTTTTTTAAAGATATATTTTATACACTATTCGTATTCGGCCGAATAGTTGGTCCCGTTATTCGTATTCGGCCGAATAGTGAAAATCACTATTCGGTACAGCCCTAGTTTTAATACACCCCATTAAAAACATAGTTTTAATGAGTGGGAGGTCACAGAAACTAGCTTCAGGCCTCAGAAATGAGATATCTAAGAAAGGGACAGCCAAGTGACAAAGTTCACAATCAGACAATACATCAAGATCTTGAAACCCAGGCCTGACAGACTAGAGGAGCTCAGCCACAGTTATGATAGTTTGGACATGTATGCAGAATGGGAAGCCACTATGGCAGGCTAAGAACGAGGTAAGCAAACCTCGAGAGTGACCCAGGGTCCAATGGAAAGACAATACATGACAGGCCCTGATTGACAGAGGACTGTAATGGAATAAAATCAGAAAGAAAACTGCTGATAGGGAAGTCTGGCAATCTCTCTGGGAAACCTCTACACCCCAGGGTAGAAGAGAAGAGATTTATGTAAGTTTAATGAATGGGATCAAGACTCAAAAAAGGGTTTGGAACCACTGGTCTAGCATGTCCTCCTATCTTTACTTAATTAAGGGCTAGTCAGTAAGTGTCAGTTTATCATATTATTTAAATGGCCTTAAGGGTTCCCCGATAATGTCTTTCTTAACGTATTTACAGTTTTTTAAGGATATCATCCGCCTGAGGACTGGCAGCAATGTCACTACTCAAGCTGCCATGAAATGTGCAGGTTCGAATTGTTATTTTTGTCCGGGCGGAGAAAACAAATATTTACCACTTTATCGTAAATGTGAACCTTAGACTCCAGAAAGAGAACCAGGTATTGTAACTGCTTGGCCAGGTGCTACTCATACATACAATAACAAGAAAACAGATGAAACAGATTTTATTAAATATCTATACAAACTGTTAAAAGTTTGTACTTGTTTGACACTTCAAATATCTTTATTCTTAATATTTTTGTGAATTACAAAAGATATCAAAGGTAGTACTATAGCAGACTCAAGACTTCACTTTCCCTACTCAACTTTTTTAGTATTACTTTCCAACAAACAAACAAACAAACAAGTTAGATTTGTATTCTTTAGAGGACATTGCAGAACTAACCGCAGCATTGTTTGGCTGTTTTTTTTATTTTAATAGGAAATTTTCTCCAGGTGGGTTCAGGAGTCCCATTGTGAAGAAAACATGATTAGATCCACAGCTTCCTCAAAATACATGTTGGAGACTAACTGGGAGCATCCTTCAAAATCAAAGCATCTGTCCGAGAGGCAAGGAACCAACAGTCTGCTAACAAATAGGCCAGATCTATAAAATAGACATGCAGCCAAAATACTTAATTCATTACCATTAAATGGCCAAGCCATTTCAGACTTTTCAACTTAATTTAAATTTAGATATTGCGCTAATAGTTTTTGTAATTTGTTTGTTTCTAGCTTTGTTCACAGCCTTCCTTAAACATCAGATGTCACAGGTGGTCCGTTTTCTCACTTGTTCTTTGTCCAAACCTGACACTGACAGAACAGGGTTGGTATAAAGATTGCATAAAAATTTTTTTTCATGGTTGCCTGGAACAGCTCTCTTGATGATATCCCTTTATGCCATTGTTTCAGCCCATCCAGCATCATCTCTCTTGGTCTGCCTCTACCCCCTTTTCCACTGATCTTTCCAGCTGTCACGATGTTCCCAAATGTCTCTCTCTTCTTATTATGTGGTCAAAGAACAGTGTTTGTCTCTTTCTTATTGTTGTAAATAGTGATCTACGTTCATTAGCTTCTTTCAAGCAATCGTTGTTAGTTTACTCTGGCCATCCAAGGTGTTCGTAACATTTGTCTAAGAAACCACATCTCTGATGCTTCCAAATTCTTCCTAATTTGATTACTTCATGCAGATAACAAAACATTTATTTTTATACTACAATATTTTTCTGCTGCATGTGACAACAAAGATCTTTACACGACATTCAAAATCTTTATAACAACTCATTAAAAATTATTATTAGGAAATTGTTAAGGATGAAATAAGTAGTTCTGGGTGGACAAACAATCTCTGACAATCCTGTACAAGTAAATAACTGATTTAACTGAAACTGTGTAGGCATAAATTACTAAAGGCCAGAGTTCAAACATTTAAATTGTTGATTGCTGAAGACAGAAAACAGCAGTATACTAAGTGTGTGTGTGGGGGGGAAGGGCGCTTTATCAATCAAAGAATGAGTGCCAAAGTTAAGTCACCAAGAGCTGACTTACCTAAGCAAGAGAAAAATCTACACACCCAGGAATATCTCTTAAGTATAAGTATGTAAAGGAAGCCACCATGGTGCAGTGGCTAGACTCCTGCCTACTGATAAACTAAAATGACTTGGCTCCCACATCGACCCAGCCTTAAATGGGTACCAGGTCTTTACCTGGGAAGTAAACGCGACTAGTGTGATGTTAACCATATAACTCACAGAGTGACAACTGGCCTATAAAATAAAAGTCCAGCCCTATAAACCCAATATACCTAAAGGCGGGAAAAGGTCCTTTACTTTTACTCAGTGCGTGATGTGATCAACATCACAACAGCCACCTTTACTTCCCTGAATATTACCTGGTACCCATTTAAGGCTGGGTCAGCCTGGCAGCCGAGAGCAATTTTGAAAACAACCAGCTTTTCTGCAGCAGATCTGAGTATCTACTCACTCTGCCAACAAGGCTCTCCTGTCCTCAGTGCAATGATAATAAAAAACTAACTTCTGTAGCCAAGAAACTGTAGCAAAACATCAGGCTGAGATCATCTTTGAGAGAAATCACAGAACACAATCAGATATTGAAACTCAACAAAAATAAATGAGCACATGAACTTTCAGTTATCGTCGGAATAAAGAGAAGCTCTGTTTGTTGGGTATCCTTCCATTCTTGTTCAAGATGGCTGCTTCCATATCCTCGTAAGCGGGTAAGCCTGCCAGACTGCCATATGCAGCAACTGAGAGTTTGCTCTTCAACATACGATTAGCCACCCGCTGGATGTCACGCTCTGTTATATTCCCTGAGAAAATAATTATTCACAATCAATTAATAGGTTTTTTTTTAACAGCATCTGAAATTAAATGACAGATTTAAATGTTCGAAACTATGAGATGTGAATAGTTTTAAAATCACTTTTACAGTCAGGAGGCGGCTCCCAACAGTTGTCTCTGCATTGTGATTCTATTGCACAATGTTGAAAACTGCACAGACCACTAAGGAGATCAACTTCCTAGTGTTGAGCTAAGAACTGACATCACAGCACTCAGGGCATTCCAATAAGCACTCAGTGCACATCTTCAGCAGTCAGCGAAGAGTTCCAACACTAATGGTGCCAGTAGCAGTTTGATTATATGTCCATCTTGCCTTTTCTCTGTGGGTAGATTGTCGACGAAATCCCTTGGTCACTCCCTCCTGCACCATTCTGTCCCCACCACAATAATCTATGTGTTCCTCCGCATTGTTCCCTTGCCCCCCAACTAGCTTGTCATGCAAACACTCAGCTCCCATTGGTGAAAAACTAGCCAATCTGTCTGCCTGTACATTTCCCAACACTCCTGCATACCCAGACAAAATATCCAAAGAATGCTTACAACCAAGGACCTCTGAAACTCCTAGTGTAAAGTGAAGGATCCATTTCTACGCCCAGAGGTAACAGTTTATGTGGTACTATTCACTTTTATAGAGCATTTAATGGGTAATGCATTCAATTTCTTGCCAGCCACCTTTACTTCCAAAGAAATATCCTGGTACCCATTTTAGCCAAGGTCAGTCTACAAGCCTAGGCTGAACTTTAAACAATCTTGTTATGGTGCAACAAGAGACAATGTGATTAGTGTGTTTCAGTTCAAGAGATTTGAGCTTTCTGCTTCATTATATCTTTAAGTAAATGTTGAAATATACTTGACGAGATTCAGGGCATTTTTTAATTTAATATATTGTTCGTGTCATTATTTAAAGAGAACAATCTTCCTTGTGTGAGGCCCGGGGTTCCATTTTCAGGAAAAATATGAATGGACCCACTAAAACATGTCATAACGGGTGAATAATTTAGAATCTGATGAAATCAGATGTATTGGGTCACAAGACACAGATACTGTAGCCTAGCTGTAAACCACAACACAATATGTAAACTACCCTTTTGGGTGCAGAAGAAGAATAAGACAACTTACCAATCTGATCAAAGTAAAACTGTGGTGGGTGCCTGGTTGAGCCAGCCAGTACCTGGCGACCAATGTCCTCAAACACTACAGGTCTGACCTCAAGGTTCATCATTAGCATGGACTGCAGCTGACGTTTAGCTCTGTTCAGTTCATCCTGGTTGGACAGACAACAGAAATATATAAGTTTTTTATTGAAAGGTTATAATGACAGTAAAGGATCCTGGTTTTGCCAGTAATGCATCAGATATATCAAGCTAGACTCAAATTTGTTGCAACTAATCGGCAGTCAACTGGTTCCCCAAGTGAGTTCCGGGGAAAGTAATAGACCCACTGGGTTTCATACCACATGGCTTGGTGTCTCTGCACAGCGAAGAGTGTGACACAAAGCATATACTCTGTAGCTATTGCAACAATCCCCAGCGTAACAACTGCACGAGTGAACTGAATAACACCTCAATAAAACGGATCCGTAACCTTCAGAGCACAGGGCAAATGGCGTAACCACTGCAGATATCTCCTAATGTGCCATGTCGTAATATGAATAGCTGAAATCTTTCTTTGGGTTCCAGGGTTCCAGTTTGGGGTTTTTTTTTTTTAAAACACCCACCGCCGTGAAAAAGCGTGTCGTAAAAGATGACTGTAGGGGTTAGTTGTAATCTGATAGGTCAGGCCAAAAGGTGCAGATATTGCAGCCCCGGTGTAAACCACAACACACAAGGTGAATGCAGAAGACTTATCATATAAACACACAAAAACTAACAAAACAAACAGTAAATATTGACCAACAATACATTCCTAATCTAAAGAGAAATGCTGTACCTGATAGACAGTACTTGCTGTGAACACAATTTCTCGAAGAATCACCTCCACCAACTCCCTCAGCTGTGAACAAACATCAATCACTTAAACAATGGTGACATAAATTACATTCCTCAATATACCAAATTATATAACCACAGCTCACTATTAAAATATTTTGATATGGGAAAGCTAACAAGGATAACAAATGCCTGCAGACATCGGATGTGTTGGCCAAAAGGCGCAAATATGGCAGCCATGCTGTAAACGGACACAAAACTTTGACATCTTTGGATGAACGCAGAAGAAGAAGAAGAAAATGTACGATGTTTATTTTGAAAATGTTTACATAAAAGCTAACTGGCTGGATTTATGATTCTTTCATCTGTTCAACATAAATGTGACATTGTTCCAAACACATTCACAGACAAATAATCATCTTCCTTTGGTATCCCGCTGCCGTGGTAAAACGGCTAGACACTCGCCTGCAGATCGAAGGGCATGAGTTCAGGTCATGCCAGAGCTGGATTTGTTCCCCTCTTCCCCAAAATACCTTAGCTCCCAGCTATAGTCCTGGAAAGTAAAAGCAACTGGAATGATGATGACATCACTCACTGAGCGCTGATTGGTCTGTAAAATATAGGTCTAGCCCTTTAAGGTTCTCTACTTAGGTATCCCAGGATCAAAAGCAGGTAATTTATAATAGGATGTCCCATAAGGTTCCACAGAGAGGGAAAATAAACATGTTTTCATTTATTAAATTTATATAACATGCTCTACATGACCACCATTGTTTTGAGAACACATTTACATATGTGTTCTCCACAGCTGAAGAATAGATAAGCCCAGCTGGAGTTATGCTTGTAATGGCGTTGGTGACGTGTTTACTTTCTTATAATGGAAACTGAAAAGACACCCTGTCAAATGCCACTCTCATTACAACATGCCAGAAAGACTATGTTTCGATGGTCCTCTGCCTCACATTTTCACATCTTGGCTGTCTTCAGGGTTCTGTGCCCAATACTTGATAGTGATGTGAAGTGTTACGTCTTCAAGAAGTTCCAGATTAAGGCACACTGAGGTGGTGTGACCAGTTACCCTTTGCATCTCAAAAAGTTCTGCTAATAAACCTGTACAACTAAAGTAAATTACTCTTTTCCATGCCTGTAGGCACATATTGGATATATAATGCTAGATATATATTTTATACATTCAACCAGCATTCGGGGGTGATGTGGTCAGCATCTCGTCAGCCGCCTTTACTTCCTAGGACTTCACCTGGTAAACATTTTAGGCTACTCTGACATGGAAGCCAGCGCCATTTTCCCAAAAATCCCACTTAATGCAAATTTGAACCCACAACTTTCAGGCCCGTGGGTGAGCCAAATCTGACCCACAGTGGGCTAGCAAGCCCCCCCCCCCCCCCCCCCCCCCCCCCAGATCACTGTCACTTGTATTGTAAATCAATGATATTTCTATGCTTGGGCTCAGGCCTCTGGCTCGTGACCATCCCCTTTTCAACATTTTGGTCCCTGAGTGAACTTGGCTGAACAGCCCTGCTCTAGCCCCAATGGCTCCCAAATTGACTTGTACCCAGTATATAAAGATGGGTCAACCCTTTAGCTGGTCTAATAAAAAAATCAAACAAATAAAATCACTGTCTTGGCAGGCAAGGGTATTAACTGAGGAGCAAATTATATGTTTTCTTCTTTCTTTGGACCTACTACTCATACTTGTACAGCAGGGATATTCAACTAAGTTTGTCCTACTACTCATACTTGTACAGCAGGGATATTCAACTAAGTTTGTCCTACTGCTCATACTTGTACAGCAGGGATATTCAACTAAGTTTGTCCTACTGCTCATACTTGTACAGCAGGGATATTCAACTAAGTTTGTCCTACTGCTCATACTTGTACAGCTGGGATATTCAACTAAGTTTGTCCTACTACTCATACTTGTACAGCAGGGATATTCAACTAAGTTTGTCCTACTACTCATACTTGTACAGCAGGGATATTCAACTAAGTTTGTCCTACTACTCATACTTGTACAGCAGGGATATTCAACTAAGTTTGTCCTACTGCTCATACTTGTACAGCAGGGATATTCAACTAAGTTTGTCCTACTGCTCATACTTGTACAGCAGGGATATTCAACTAAGTTTGTCCTACTGCTCATACTTGTACAGCAGGGATATTCAACTAAGTTTGTCCTACTGCTCATACTTGTACAGCAGGGATATTCAACTAAGTTTGTCCTACTACTCATACTTGTACAGCAGGGATATTCAACTAAGTTTGTCCTACTGCTCATACTTGTACAGCAGGGATATTCAACTAAGTTTGTCCTACTGCTCATACTTGTACAGCAGGGATATTCAACTAAGTTTGTCCTACTGCTCATACTTGTACAGCAGGGATATTCAACTAAGTTTGTCCTACTGCTCATACTTGTACAGCAGGGATATTCAACTAAGCTTGTGAAGAAAATTGAGAATTTTGAAAATGGTGATCGCCATAGGTCAGTCTTGAGCCCAATGAAAAGAAAGATCATCAATACAATATGACCGGCAACGGTCCAGAGGTTACCTGCTAGGCCTTCACAGGCCACATCCTGCCACCAGTTAAATAGCCCTGCTGTAAAGAATTAAAGAGGATTTAGATCTAGCTGCATGTCCTTTGCCAGTCGCAAAACTTGTGTTGATGTCACACTGTGCTTCTGTAGCGTCTCTTTTACTGCCTCCAATCAGCTCTTCAGCCCCTCGCCTTGTAGCCTGCTGTTATCATGCAATTCGCTCCAGCTGCTGACTGATTTTGTTCCATTCTGATCAGATAACCAAACCATTTGATTCTCTGATGTTCTATTAAATCAGTTACCTGTTCTGTGCCTACCATTGTTCTTAGTTCTTCATTGGTGTCCCTTCTTGTTATTCCCACCACCTTTCAAACATCTCATCTCGCATATATTTCTAATACTGTGTAAATATGAAACTTACTTTAGAAGGATGAGAACTGGCATGAATACAGAACAATCCACTGTCCTCATAAGCGTGGTTATAAGCCGTGGCACTCTCTATCCACACGTATCTGAAACATGTCACAGTTTGAAATAATTACCACAAAAAAGTTAAGGTTGAAGGTGAGAAGATCGACTTCACTGTACCAGGTTTTTATCCCATATGGCTCGGTCTCTCTCAGCAGAATGACTAGCCGTCTGCCAAGAGTGTTGCATAAAGCATTTTTATTAAAATATTCAGAAACCATGAGTTATTAATTAACCTTTTGGCTCAGTACTATAGATATCGCAACCTTGCGGCCTTGATTCCATAATAGGTACCGTAAATCTGGATGAAATGTGGCTTTTCTGCCTACCCCCGGGAGTAAACCCGGATCACAAGTTTGTTACCCGGTCACTGTGAAGTCAGGTTTAACCAACTATGCTAGAGAGCCGGGCTCGCATAAAGCATGAACTCTGCATCTCCAGGGATGATCCACAGAGATCTTAGTAAAAATTGCACTCCTGAACTAAACGGCACTGCAGAAAAATGAACCCATGATCTTCATAGCACAAAGCAAACGGGTTGATCACTTCGCCAGGGAGACCCTACAATTGTAATAATTATGTAAACAATCCTGGTTCTGTACTTACTTTACTTTTTCCTTCCACGTATGCCGCTAAGCGTTGTGGGGAGATGCAAGTTCCTGTCATAAGCAAGGCGGGCAGCATCTGATGTTCTGAGGCCATGCTTTTGGCAGGTTTCGGAGACCCCGTCAATCCACAGTTTCCTTGGTCTTCCTCTTGCCTTATATCCTGAGCTTCTTTGGTTGAAAATTTGTGATGTTATTTGGTCATTTTTCATCCTGGTTAGATGTCCAAACCATTTCATTCTTTGATGTTCTATGTAGTCTAAACATGGTGTAGTTTTGACAGTGTTTCTAATGTCTATGTTCTTTATCCTGTCTAGTCTGGTCTTATTCGCTGCTTTTCTTAGACATTTCATTTCACAGGCTTCTATTTTTCTTTCATGGGTCTTGTTGATTGTCCATGTCTGGCACTGGTAGCAGAGTGTTGGAATGAAGATGGTGTTTATCAATTGTCTTTTGGTCTTCATGGTTATATCTGGATGTTTAAGCAGAGGTGATAGTTGGTATGTGACAGCATTTGCTTTCTGTATTCTTGTTTCTATCTCTCTGTCCATTCTTACATCCTCTGTAAATATACTGCCCAAGTATTTGAACTCTTTGGTTTGCTTGATTTTGGCACTTCCAACATTTATATTCAGTGGCCTGTGTGTTCTGCTGATCTTCATAACTTCTGTTTTTTCTGTACTGATTCTCATATTATGTTGTAAACAGCTGTTGTTGAGAGTAGTCAGATGTTCCTGTAGATCATATTCATTTTGATACAGTATGCTTTGATCATCAGCAAAAAGTAATTCATTTATAGCATACACGTCTGGGTTTGCTTCTACAGTGATCTTATCCATGTATGTTATGAAAAGTAATGGTGACAGTACACATCCTTGTCTGACACCAGTTGTGACTTTGAACCATTCAGAAAGACCACTAGATGTTCTTACTGCACTTTCACTGGTTCTGTATAAGCATTAAAACTTAAGTTCTACAAAATTTTCTTTTTGTCATTTTAGTTTCTGACCAGTTTCTTGACAAACGTTTACAGTTGTCAATATTTTTCTGGCAGTTTTTATAGTTTTCTGGCAACACTGTAGTTGTACTTTTTTTTTCCTCTTGTGTTTTTTAAAGTTCCACTGCATTAACCCTTAAATATTATACACTTCTAGTGTGTTCCTATGGTGTCAGTTTTCCTGTGTTTTCTTGGGGTTGTTTTTTCTGGCCAAAAGGTTTGCCTTAATGTGTCTAATTTGGTGCAGTCCTGGAGTACATGCTCTGCTGTCTGTGGCACCTTTCCACATGTGCACATGGCTGATACGCCTATCTTGAATTTTGTGTACATGTGGTTACGTAATCTGTTGTGCCCTGTTCTGAGGCAGAGGATAATGACTTGTTCTGATCTGTCCATAACAGAATAGTCGTCTTGTGCTGGGGCTGGTGGTTTCCTGATTGATTTAATGATTCTTTTCTTTTGGTGGTATGTGACTGGTACATCCGGCTGCTCTTTTGTCGCACCTTCCCCTGCCAGTTGATCAGCTTTCTCATTTCCAGGCACTCCACAATGTGATGGTATCCACTGCATTACAACTCTTCGCTGAAGGCTGAGTTGTGTCAGCAGCGTTTGCAATTCTGGTAGTTTCCTAGACTGGAGTGCTTAAGTACTGATTTTGCATCTGTCAGTGTTACCCCATACTGTGAGCCAAGATTGGTATTTAGCAGTTTCTCTGTTGCTATCTTGATAGCCTGAGTTTCTGCATCATAGTTATGGCAGTACTTTCCGGTTGGTACGCTGGACTTATCTCTAGTACCATCTGGGAATTCTATGTACACTCCAGAACCACCATTTCTAACTGCACTTTCTGACCCATTGTTCTTGTGGGTATTCTTCATCAATATAACTGAGGGTGGCCATTCTGCTTCTTGTTCTTTCTTGTCAAATATTCCTTTCACATTTTTCTGGATTTGTACTGTTAGTTTGCATTTCTCTCTCCATGGGGTTTGTTCTGGAATACTGTTAAGTGGGCAACCAATTTCTAGAAGGTCAGCAGTTTGTCTACATATTCTTTTTGCTTGATGTATAAAGCTGCTTCTTTCTAACCATCCCGAGGCTATTTTCTGAAATCTATTCTGACATGCCTCGACTGCAAGAGTGCAGTCTGTCCCTCTCTAGAAAGGCAATAAAGTTGAGTCTTGAGGAGAAAAACTGGCATGGGTATCTAATGAGTAGAACAGTTAATCTTCTCCATGTGGGTTCCAGGGCCTCATTATGGGGAAAACAAGAACAGACCCACCGACTCCCCAACAAGTATTTTGTAAGAATCTACTAATTGAGGACTAACTTCTAGTGCATCTGTCTGAGAGACAAGGAACCAACAGTCTGCATACAAATAAATCAGATAAGATGTGCACACACCACTCAGGTACTGGAACAAGACTAAAATCCAGAGGTGGAAAAACACCCAGAACTTTCCACTGGTGTTATTTATAGCTGGTGAATGTGAAGAAGAAGAATAGGTAATCTTGTATGTGGAAAGGGGGGGGGGGGGGGGGGGGGGGGGGGGTAAAAATCAAAATTTCTGAAGTACAGCTACAGAGCTGGCACCATCTACTACAACTGACCTGTTCAAGACATTGAGATATAATCTTGTGTACATTCCTTTGCCGGGGCCGCCAGCAGAAAAAGAGCCGCCTCCTCCAAGCATCATGTTGAGCACACAGAAAGCAATGAAGTCTGGGTCTTTATGACTGCAGCTCTCCAGACCAAACACAACATGGACCAACTCTGGCATCGGTGTTGGGCCAAGACTCACATTGGACAAATCTTTCTCTACCTGGACATTTAAAAACAAAATTCAGTTTAGAATTATGTGCCTTGTCTGTCACGCTATACAGTAAAGATAAAAATCTATTTCAGAACATAAAGAAATAATTACCATAGATGATAACATTCCACTTTGGAGTTCCCGGAAATTAGAAAGCTCATAAACTAGCTAAGGAAGGTGCAAATAAAGAACAACCTGACGTCACAGTCTCTTATCAACAGAAGAAGAGACATGGAGATGTTATGAATGCTTCAGTGTGATTTTTTTTAACGATTTTTATGCGATGATCTTGAGATATCAATGAGTGTTGACCTTGAGGTATCGCAGGCTGTTTGTGCTGTAGGAGTTTTCTATCAAATGTTCTGCCACACTTGTTACTCCTCAGCTGTGACATACATACCCAGTGCCAGAGCTTGTTGCACTTTCAATCTAGGTTTCGGTTCAACACACTAACTGGTGTTGTAAACGTTTCTAGATGTTTAAATTTTGTGAAGACAGATCCGACAGAAGGGATCTGGTGTCAACAATTCCTTGTGTTGCTTGGTGCAGACAGCCAACTGCACTTCACCACACTGTAGTTGGCAACAATTTTTGAACAATCAACAGGGCTTCAGAACTGCTGTAGAGGGACTGCCCTAGTCTTACGTTCATCTGTGCGTAGACTTACACTTATATTCCTCTGCTACCATAGATGACTGCTCCTACACTATCACTGTTTACAACTTTTCTGTTGTGTTTCTGTTGTAAGGTGGCTGAAAAACTTGGATCGTGGACTTTTTCTTACCAGTATTTGCAGCCTTTGGATTTTTTGTTTGAACATTCTTCATTCTGTTATGACTGTTCTATTCTGTAAACAATCGGACATGGGGTGTTGCTACTTTGCCTTCAATCTTCCCCGATTACGTACCTAAATCACTAAACTTGTGTTTCCTGTCTGTGATCGGAACTGGTTCAACCCCTGTCTGGATGGTAGCTAATCTCAGTTCCTATGTTTAAGAATAAATTGTCCGACACCAATTTTCCTCAGCCTCTATTGTTTGGACAAGCGCCCATTTCGCGCAATGACTCTACATTTGCTCACTAAAAAAAACAACAACAGAGACTGTTCAAAAGAACAGTTGCCAACAATGATGAAGAGCCTTAGGCACATTAACATCCAAATTAAAATAAGAATGTTAACAAGCATCTTTGCATGTAAGTCACACACAATACTGCAAACAGTATAGAAAATAATGACTGTCGGTCAACCTCATTTAATTCTACCTATAGTTACTTCAAAGTGGGCGTCCTAACTCACCTGCACACTGCCGCCCGTATACTGTGAAATACAGGTAGGTTCCACTTCCCTCTGGCCCCAAGTTTCTCCCTCTGACAACCACAGAGGCTTCTTCTCCTCCACAAAAAACTTGTGAGCCAACTGGACCAGCTTCTCGTGGTCTACTCCCACACCAGCAATCACGGTGTTCTTTGGATGGTGTCTTTCATTCATGTAGGCGTACAGAACAGGCCTGGTGATGATGTTGATGTTCTCTGGTGGGCAGATGCGTGGTAGGCCCAATGTGTTACCATGGTAGGCAGCCTGTATTGTGGAAGATTTAAAAGCCTGTTTTAATGAAAAATGAACTTAAAGATGGGTAAGTAAAGTAAGTAAAGGACCCTTTTCATCTCAGTGGTATCTTTGGTATATGATTCTAAACTCATTTTCTTTGATAGAACATTCAGCACTAGGAGTGTGATGTGGTTAACATTATGTCAAAACAAATATAAGTACAAGGAAACAGTCAAGTAAAGTACCCTTTTCCCTGCCTTCAGGCATAAAGTGGTAGAACTGTTTTATAAACAAGCGACACCCCGAGGGTGATGTGGTCAACATGTCAAAACAAATATAGGTATAGGTATAATTAAGTGAAAAGTAAAGTACCCTTTTCCCTGCCTTCATACTTAAAGTTGTAGAACTATATCTTATAGACCAAGCGACACTTCGAGGGTGATGTGATCAACATTATGTCAGCCGTCTGCACTTCCCATGTCTTCCTGGTATTTAAGGTTGGGCTGACCAGGAAAGACGGATATGCACCACATAATATCCATTCAGGAAACATCAAGTTGCATACACCTGTGGTCTCTTTGTTAGGTTATAATACGAGTTTAGAATTCAGCTAAGAAGCCTATGATACAGCTGCTGTAATGACAGTGTTGCATGTGTCTCTCTCTCTCTCACGCAAAGAGACAGCCAGAGAGAGAGAGAGAGAGAGAGACAGAGAGACAGGGAAAACAAACTTTATTTTTAATGGGTCACAAACTGGGCATACAAGATTGTCTAACATAATACAGCAATAGTATTTTATCTAGAAAGTATGTTATGTGCGTATCAATATGAATAATAAAAATGCCAAGTAAATCCATACATACACAAATAAATACATTTGTACACATATAGCTGTATATAAACACAGTTATGATCATACATACACACACACATACCATGAATGTGTACATGCAAGTACACGTATATTCAGAACAGCAAGTGGGGTTAAGACAGTCATCAAACAGATGCTATCTTCACAAGACGATTTACTGCAAAGGAGCACCTTCACTATCTCTCAATCATTATAGTTGTGTACTCTCTCAGAATGTTATACATCCATCACTTTATGTTATCCTCCCACTTGTACTGTTGTGTGCCTCTTGCTCGCTTGTTTTCAATTGTTCCCTGTAATGTGTGGGCATTTTTGTAAAACTTAAACCTGAACAAAATACTTAATTTCTCACTTTTGTATCTGATAACTGAAAAGATAAAGCACTGATGCACGCTCGTAATACAGTCTGAAGAAATAACCTGAACAAATACACTGATTAAAGTAAGCCAGGTAAACCCACCGAATGAATCATTTCCATCAGAAGAGACTCTGGGTTCGGATCCATGTGCATGGCTTCAATCTCAAAGCCAATAGCTTTACGAGCATGATCAATCTGCAATTGAAATCAGCGGAGACACAAGTCAATCAAACAAGTCTCTTTACTTATTCTGTTATTTATATCTGGCCTTTGTAAGTTTCTCTATATCAAACGAGTGTGACTGGCCGTTCTTGACATGCAAAGGTTGTCATCATCAACATCGTCTTTTTCGCACTCACCGGGTGTGAACTCCAGCAGAAAAACCTGGCTGTTCATCCACTTTTGGTCCTGTTATACAATTTGTTGTGCGTGCACATTCCTTTTATTGGTTTATCTGTATGCAGACCGCTGGTTCCATGCCTCTCCGGCAAATGCACTGACTTCGAAGAAAACACGCCTTGTTAGTCGGCTTTTAGGACATCCTTGTTAGAAGGGCAATGAATCTATCCCCCCTGCCCCCCTCAATTGGAGCCATAGAACCCACACAAAGAATCAAACATTATAATCTCCCCACGTGGGTTCGGGCTCCCATTTGAGGGTTGGGGGGGGGGGGGTGCTAATAAACCACTAATTAGTGTTTGCTGAAATTAAATGTGTTGTGCTGAAAGGTGTAGACATCCTAGCCTAGCTGTCAACCACAACACAATGTGCCAACTACCCTTATAAGGGCGAACGCAGAAAAATTAAAACATATCATCATCAACCTCATGGCTGACTGAAATTATAAATCATAATTCTCTATACCTCATCGAGCTGGTGGGAGATGTCAGGATCTTCTCTATGCTCTTTCTGTGGCAGTTGGCACCAGCGTATTCTCACCAGATAGCCAAACCATCTCATCTGTTGCGTTTCTTGGAAATGCGTTACTGGTTTCAGTCCTATTCTTCTTTTAATGTCTTACTTTTATTTCCTCTTGTTACTCCAGCAGCCTGATTCAACATCAAGTTTAATAAAAACCACAAAACGGATGACTTGGGACAGAGGAGAAAGAAAGAGAGACAAAGGCTCACAGAAACAGAATGAGAACGTCTGTGACTACCTCAGGCTATGCTCATATAAAAAACTGACACAATTTTCCCTAAGGATTACCTGGTCATCTGGAAAGAGAGGTCTCAAAGTGACATCTGACAAAATGTTCAAGACAGTATCAAGTCCATGTGTCCTGGCAGATGCAGCATACACCAGGGTGTCTCTACCAGACAGAAACATATACTTCATGCAACAAACAAACTAACACAATGAGAAGCAGTAGCAATTTGAACCCACCCCTGTAATTGCCGACACTAGACATAGCATCAAGGCCCATTGTGATTGGTATTTCACATATGCTGGTTAACATCAACTACTATAACCTATGGTGCTATTTCAATAGCTGGATATTAATTCTCTTCTCAATTCATAGTTGAGAACCAGCTGTTGGTTCAGGTGTATGATAAACCTGGCCAATGATGACACATTTTTAGGGGTGTCAAGATAGTCGCACTCTTGTTCCAGCAGCAGGCATGACATCACCTGGGGGCAACAGACTCGAGTAACCACAGCTTTTGACTGTTATGTTGTCTAGTGTGTCTACTGTTAATGACAAAAAATACAGGCTAATTTTTTTTTCAGAGGAGCAGCTGGCCAAATGGTAAGAATGATGGAATCTCATGAAGGAGACCCCGGTTCGACAGTCAGTAAGGAATGGAGATTTCTTTCTGTCAGGGGCACAAACAAAAAACATAACCTGCACAGTTCATGACAACTGCACAGGCTATATGGCCTTAATCATCAGGCTCAAGACCCTACTGTCCTACCCGACCAAGTGGAAAATACATACAGTATAGACAGTAATTTGTTTAGCACACTGATTCTATACAAGTAGGGCAATACATCAGACCTATTCTTGATGTTCATAAGATGTAAACTCTGGTGGAAAGTTCTGGTTGTTCATCTACCTCTGGGCTTAAGACTTGTTTTAGAACCTGAGTGTTGCATACACATTTCTTTTACAGATCTGACTTATTTTTTCTGTTGGTTTCGTGCCGCTCAGGCAGATGCACTCTGACTTCGAAGAACACACCTGGCCTTAGAATACAAGCTTCTTTTTCCTCACAGTTAAGTTTATCTGTAAGTGTGGATTAGGGCTAGAGACATCATTCACCTGTGGCCAGAACAACAGGCAAAATGATATGGTTGTTAAGCCAGTGCGTTGCTGAAATACGAGGTTTAGGGACTTTCTGGGATGAGAAATATCTGGATACAAGACAAGGCCATTGTCAAGTTTTTGGATCACGTAATGAAACCGGAGACAATCTACATTCTCTGGTCAAGTCATGAGAAGAAGAAAATTGGAGTACATCATAACGATGGAGAAGTTAGAGGGAAAAAAATAGGTAGAGAAAGAGAAGGTAGAAGAGGTAGAAAAAGAGAGAAGATGCTTGCCAGTCTGGCATGGAAGATCATCTTTGTCAGACCTGACAGTACACGAGACAGAAGGCTGTGCACAGAAATGACTACCATCGCCATATGGCACTGACTATAAGAAGAATGAAATTAATTACAGACATGGGTTTAACCTGAAAACCCACAAAAATATTATATTGTGCTTTAACTTCCCACAAGTGCTTCATCACATCTTTAACAGTCAGCACTAATTTTATAATGATACCATCTTGCCTTCCCCTGAATGTTGACAAGTGACTTAAGCCAGATCTCCTGGTCACTCAGTTCTCAAGGTCTCTTCAGACCTTGCCGATTTATTTATGCCTTTATACTGTTCATTTTCTCATTCAACAATTCACTTCTTCTACCTTTACACAGAGCAATCTGTACAGACCATCACATCACCTGGACAGGAATGGTCATGAATCAGCAGTTGAATTTTTTTTATTCTGCAATGCCCACTGGGCAGCCTCTGCATTTCTAGCCAATATGATTAAAAACCCTTCATATATCTCTCTGTTGCTCAGAAACTGACAATCATTTCAGATGGGGATTCAAACATAAAAGCACAAAGTCAGTAAGTAAGTGTGCCAGCCACCGTGTTACCATGACTTCCGATAGAGCTTCTTTTCTTACGTTTTCTCTTTTACCGCTGTAGGCTTCAAGTGAGATTTAAGGATTTGCTTCTTGCTATTATGGCTGCCTTGACCACAGACACATCATGCTGTTGTAGAGTTTCTTTGATGTTAATTTTCCATCTTATTCTTCATCCTCCTCGTTTAGTGTATGCCTTCTATTCTATTGTATGGCATCACAAGGTAGATAGATAATTCAAGATAATTTCTAATACAATCAGTAAGTTACAAACTTAAATATTAAAGTATTGTTTATCATCATATAATGAGATTTTATTGGATTTGGCCATTATTTAGGAATGGATTCATTTGAATTAACTCTGTACTCTAAAGCAACAAGTAAACAGAACAGTAATTCCAGTGTTTCATGCAGACATGATCTACCTTGAGCCCTGACAGTCACAAATGCCTCCAACTTTCTCCAGGTCCTGCAGGATTCTGTCTCTGTCACTCCAAAGTGGTGTGGTCTGTAACACACAGGTTTGTGATTCGATTCATTACATGTTATAAATAAACAGGCTACATCAAACAAAATGTTTCAGTGTTTAGTTGGAGAAACAATTGACTTTATTTCATTTTAAAAAGTAACATCATGTTATTTTTCTTCACACTGACCAGCTCTAAACTCTGATGAAAAGTTCCGCTTATTTGTCCAGTTTTCGACTTCAATTTTATCCCAGAACTTGAGTTTTCCATGCACATCTATTTTACAGAACAGATCTGGCTTATCTGTGCCCATCCTGTTTTGGTAACTAATTTCTCAGGCAAAAGCAATTTTGTGTAGTCTTGTTCGTAACTGTGACACTGTCTACTCATGTAGTCCTGTTGGAGGCTTTCCAGCCTCAAGGTTTATTTCTCATTTATGACTGTGATCATGTCAAGCTGACTGGTTTTTACCTTTGGTGTGGTTTAATACATTTTCAGGTGTGGTATATATATAAGTATTTTCTTTACGAGATGGGGTATAAGTACTTTCTTTACGAGGTGTGGTATAGTATAGGAATTTTCTTTATGAGGTGGGGTATAGCATAAGTATTTTCTTTACGAGGTGGGGTATAGCATAAGTATTTTCTTTAAAGGTGGGTATAGCATAAGTATTTTCTTTAAAGGTGGGATACAATTTCAGCTTTATGAGATGGGGTTTAGTATTAGTATTTTCTTTATGAGGTGTGGTGAACAACTCAAATTCTTCACTGGCTCTAGGATAAAAATCACCCAACTAACAGTTTTCTTAACTTTGTTCATTATTCATTAACTCTGGTCAGCCTAGTGAAAAGGTTATAATCAGGGTGTTCATTACCGTTTCTTCCCCATTACTTGTATATTAATTGTGACAATCTTCACTCTTTATTAACTCATTCTGAGTAAGTAAACCATTATAAGTCAATCAGCTAAAACAGATGACGGTGAATATTCTACTGGCAATGTGCAATAAATGAACGTTTACAATACCATCTGTAATCAATAAACTTACCCCAAATGACAATTTCTCCAGGAAATGTGTAACTCCACTTGGGTAAGCCGCTTCATATCGGGATCCAGAGCTCATTAACACTGATGATAAAGCATAAAGTAACATCCTTAAGTTGTAATCACTAAATATGTATACAGTGTTAGTGATGGTTCTGGTACAGAATCCTAATTATTGCACTTCTCTAACACCATAAAAGTTTAAGCCATAACCAGTGGGAGATATAAAAGTGAAATAATAACAAAAATTATTATCTAAATTCAAATCTATAGAAGAAAAAAAGAAGGTACATCCTAAAGAAAGTATCTTCTTCTTCCTGTGTCATCTCACTGATATAGCCCAGTTTATGTTTTTCTGTATGTTTTGCAGTCATATATTTTCAGGGTTCAGCTACATCATTTATCCATCTCTTTCTTGGTCTTTCCCTTTGCCTTCCTCACAGATGTTCTGGTGTAGAAAGTATCATTCTCATCAGATGGCCAAACCAATAACAAGGCATTAAAATCAATATTTATATCTCCACTAAAGAAACCAGCTGCTTTATAAAGCACAATAAGTCTTGTTATTCATTCAACAAATCTATTACTAAAAAAAATATGTGACAAGTAAAAAAAAAAATATGTGACCAGTAAGAAATAATATTAAACCAGAGGTTAGTGAGTGTCCAGGTATGAAAGGCAGGTGGCAAGGTCAAGGCACGTTGTCTATAAACATCGCTTTTGCTCGTCCTGCCAAATGTACTACATTTTCTTGCTTATAGTCTCCCCAACTCCTCGAGCTTGATGACTACTAAATTTTAAGACTGCTGCGATTCAGTGCATTGTTTAGACACCCAAAGAACATTAACAACGCAGTTCAACAGACAAAAATTAGAACAATTCTCTCTCAAATATTTTTTAGTTCACATAATAATGTCACCAGTGTGAGTTCCAGGGCCCATTTTGGGACAAACAGAACAGATTCACTGCTCCTTAATAAGCATGCTGCAAGTGGGGACTGCTCGCGTGGGTTCTGGGACCCCAGTGAGGGAAGGGGATACCAATGGTCTACCTAAAAAAAAAAGCATGTCGTAATAGTCGACAAGCTGGCAGCTTCCTCCGAAAGCCTGGAGTGCATCTGTCCCAGCGACAAGGAACAACCAACTGCACACCAATAAGCCAGTAACATGGATGTATAAAAGGATGAACAACCAGGATTTTCTGCTGGAATTTATAGCCGGTGAACAAAGAAGAGGAAGAAGTGGGGACTAACTGGGTGTTTCCTTCTAAATCAGACTGCATCTGCATGAGTTGCAAGGAACTAACAGTCTGCATAACAACTAGCCAGATCTGTAAAATGGATGTGCATGCAAAAGTCAAGTCCTGGAACAAGACCAAAATCTAGAAGTGGATGACGAACAACAGTTCTTTCTACCAATATTTACAGCCACAGTGAATCCCTAGAAGAAAGAAAGGACATAATCAAGTCTCATTTGCAACAGGTTCTGTTTATGTTCTGTTTGCTCTTCAAGGTCATTTCTGTCTTGACCCTCAACCCCAAGACGGGTCATGACAATAGAAACAATGTAGATGTGTAAAAAAAAAAACAGACCCTTCACTTAAAAAAAAAACACACAAAACTTACCTCCAACTGTACAGAATTGGCCAAATTTGTTTTCTGAAGCTACTTTCAGCCCATTGTCCAATGTTGTTACATGAGTATCATAGGCATGACTGGTCACGGATGCATACTGTGGATCCGGAAGACCTGGCAGTTTCTCAGCCAAAGTCAAGTTTGTGATATCTACATTGTTGTTTGATTTTGAGCTGCTTAACAAGCGCCTATACAGAAAAAGAAAAACTCTTACAACAGATTTTTCTAAGAGTAAATGTGTGAAAATATGAGGTAAGAAAGCAAGAGATGACAATAAACCGTTAACATTTCCATCATTCTTCTTAAAACATAAGTTGTTGACAAATCATCCTCTAAGCAAACTAATAATTCAGTAAGTGCTCAGAAAACCCCTTTATATATCCCTCAGTGTTATGTGACTAATAAATATTAGTTTCCACAGTGGTCCCACCATCAAACCAATCAGTTTTATCTATTTCCCTTCACACATTTATACACCTTTGCACTAAAATTAATGTAGTATTTTTAAGCCATGAGCTTCTGAGAAGTTAGTCACAGATATTTCTAACTAAAGAAACAGGTGATTGGCCTAAGACTGCCATAGTAGTGTGTATAGTGAAATGGTAGAGTGTACAGTGAAATGGTGGAGTGTACAGTGAAATGGTGAAGTGTTCAGTGAAATGGTGGACTGTACTGTGAAATGGTAGAGTGTACAGTGAAATGGTGGAGTGTACAGTGAAATGGTGGAGTGTACAGTGAAATGGTGGAGTGTACAGTGAAATGGTGGAGTGTACAGTGAAATGGTAGAGTGTACAGTGAAGTGGTGGAGTGTACAGTGAAATGGTGGAGTGTACAGTGAAATGGTAGAGTGTACAGTGAAATGGTAGAGTGTACAGTGAAGTGGTAGAGTGTACAGTGAAGTGGTAGAGTGTATAGTGAAATGGTGGAGTGTACAGTGAAATGGTGGAGTGTATAGTGAAATGGTGGAGTGTACAGTGAAATGGTGGAGTGTACAGTGAAATGGTGGAGTGTTCAGTGAAATGGTGGAGTGTACAGTGAAATAATGGAATCTTGTGATAGCAGATTTCTTCTTATTCTTATTTGCATTCACACTGGGTGTAAACTCGGGCAGAAAACTCTGGTTCTTCATCCACTTCTGGTCTTTCTTGTTCCAGAAAATGAGGTTTGCAAGCTCCGTTTTACGGATCTGGCCTATTTGTAAGTAGACTGCTGGTTCCTCACCTCTCATGTATATGCACTCCGAGCGAAGAAAACGTCTATCAATTAGTTGTATTCACAACATGCATTTTAGGAAGGCAATAGGTCTATCTCCCCCCCCCCCCTCCCCCCCATCAATGAAACCCACATTAGGAATTTGTGAATTTCAGTTAAAGGAATTCATGTTTGTGCTTTAGTGTATCTATGTTGATATAAATTATATCAGTATGCCCGGAAGAAAGACAGTGATTATTTTTAATTTAATTAGATAAATAATTTTTGTTTATTTAGTAAGCAACACTAAATGGTTCTATAATTTCATAGACAAAAATTATCCTAAAATTAAGTTAATAATAATACAAATAATATAAAGAAAAAAGGTTTAAAAAAAAATTGCTGAGTCAAAATGATGAAATCATTCTCTCAAAGAAAGGTCCACTAGATGAATGATGAATGATGCGATTTTGATTTCTTTGTTTTTATGGTTTGGCAAAGAAACTTCTTTTGTATATTTATTTTAGTTTTATGATATGGATCTTGGAAACATATACTACCAACAATGTGTCTTTAAATGTCCTGCTAATTAATGTGTGGTGTTTGAGTGTTTTACTGACTGAAATGACTGTTGTTTGTTTAATGTTGCAGTCAAACTATTAAAGTCATTTCATTTTTTTTTTAATTCCTGGTTGATCTCATTATTCTCATAAATTTTATTGTTAAGTCTGTATAATAACTTCTTATACACTTTCTTTAGTTAATGCGTTGCCGTTGCTTGACAATTTGTCTAAATGTGTGCAACTAAAAACACTTTAAAAATAAAAACAACTTGACATTTAGTTAGTGTTTGCTGAAGTATCATGCTTGATACTGTGTTGGAATAAAGTTGTAATTAAACCAGTTTAATTTCCTAATCATTGGAGTCAACATAAACTAAACTGTAGAGAAGACGTACCGGGAAAATTTACTAATCCGTTGACCTTTTCCATTGACAACACGGTTCATCAGGCGCGCCGCCATCTTGTATTACAGAACGGATATGTCCCCAAGACTTTTGTATGTTTCTAAGTCGAAGAGCTTCGTCGATTACACTAAATTTATCGTAGGTTTTTGTAGTAAGAAATGGTAACCTATAAACGTAATGGTCTTGTTATTGTTGAACTAACAACTGACAACACAGACCCAGAGCATCACCGAAAGCGCTTCATCCTCATCTTTGGTTCCAGCAGAAGTTTGATTATATATCTATCTTGCTTCTGCTTTGCGAGTAGAGAGAGTATTGACTAGATCCCCTGGTTGATAAGACAAAGTAATACAAATTAGCTGAGTATTCTTTACAGGACATTGCAGAACCAACCCCAGCATTGTTTGGGTGTTGCAGTTTTCTAGTCTAATTTGTACGTTTTACTGAATGGTCAGCTGTCAATACCACTGTCTAAACCAATGCAAGACGGTCCTCTGCCAAATTGCCTGCAGCTGGGATCGAATCCGGCACCCCTGCATTATGTAGCGTTTTCGCAATGCATAAGCCACAGACGCTGACTATACAAATACAACGTAATATTATGGCAGGGCAGAACAGGCCACTAGCCTTGGCTGGCAGCAGGTTTGGGAGGGATCGCGTGGGCAACTGCTGATCTGTTGGTGACTTCTGCTATCATCAATGATGAACTGCATTTCTAATGTCGGACTGTTTGTGTTAGCACTTCGGATGGCTACCGTATGCTTCAATGCGAGTGTATGCTAGATATGCTGAGACAGCAGTCTGTCAAACTTTCCACAAGGGACTGTGATAAACATTCTGTGTGTTTTTCGTTGGCACAGAAGCGGAGCAAAGTTGGGGTGACCCGTTTGCTATGAAGCTGAAACTACGACTACCAGACTACCAGACTTGGGAGGAAACTCCGACACTGCTCTCGTGATTTATGCCAGAAGGGCAATAACACAGAGCACTACTGCTGGCTGAAATGTAAGAGACTTCAGAGACTATCATTGACTTTATGAATCTCTGTAAATTACCGATGACGATGGACAACTTGTCAATTACAGACAGTCCTGACGACATTTGTTGCAAGATCTAGTAATTTATTATTAGAACTCAAAATCGATGTATACAAGAGTAAGGAAACTGAAATATAATCTGTGAAGATAATTACTTCTAGCCTCAATCTGAAAGTAATAAGAATTGTTAACCTAACTAATGAGTCTTCCCCTTGTGGGAAGCAATTTTTCATTACTTTGAAGCCCCACCCTGACTGTTGCCGGGGGCACTAATATAACCTAACGGTTAAAACGGGGTTTCCGGGACCTCTCCACGGGTGATCCTCATACGCATGGTGGCTCTTTGTGTCACCGGGTGTTTATTGCTCTCTGTGATGTTCTGGTGGGGTAACATTTACTTACTAACTAATTGACCGGAATGATTAACAGCTACACGAAGGGCGAAGATCTGTCTACCGAAATTGTCAAGTTGTTTGCCTCACGCTCTAAAGGCCATCGGTTCGTTTCACGGCTGCGTCCTTCGGTACAGAATGCTTTTTATACGGAGATTCGTGGAGAATGTAGCAGGAGTTTCAGAGTTCGTGCTTTTTGTGAGGCTCTCTGCAGACGGCGAGCCGTTCTGTGAAGAAAGACCGATCCATGTTGGATAAAATCTAGTGAATGCTTTTTTTTTTTTCAAAACCTAATGGTGACACTTTTCCTTTGGAGTTAACATGGCAGGTGGAGAGAAGGATCATTGCTACATGGCAACACACGGTCTCTACAATACTGCCCAGGTTTTGTGCTACGGTTGGCCATCACCCTATAAATCGGTATAACACTCTCCTCTTGGAAAGGACATATTCCAACAAATGTTACGAGAATGCTTCAAAAGAAAACCTTTAAAGTGTGATCGAAATTACAATAACTTTCCCATTGTCTAATAATTTCTTAGACAAACTTTTCACGAACGGGTCAAGTCAGGTCAGGTCTGAACCGTGCCGTGCTTTGATACTGAGATCCGGCAGCATCAGACGGCACCATAAGAGGTGGGGTGGCATAAGCAGCAACATTAAAATGCGGTTTGAACTAGGGCTGTACCGAATATTCGCTTCGTATTCGCTTCGGGGCCGAATAGTGGACCTTATAACTATTCGGTATTCGGCCGAATAGTTGCGGTTGGACCGAATACAAATAGTGGTTACCTTACTCCCGTTTCTGCACACACTGTGATGGACTGAAATAATTATCTCATTAACACAATAGTTGCTGTTGCCTAAGTCTGTCGTAGCGGGGGAAACTGCGACCCGGTTGCGTGGTACAAACTGCATAAAATGCCAACCGCAGTGTGCGTGCTTGTGTGAGTGTGTGTCTGTGTGTGAGAGGGAGAGAGATAGAGAACATGCATTTTTCGTTCTTTCATGGTGTCTTCGCCCAAATCAAATTTGAAGATATTGCTAACGAGAATATGAAGATGCGTTTAAATTACATCGAACGAACGGCCGAGCGAACGATGGTTTTGAAAGAAGCGGGAGCCCGAAGACAACTAATCACAGACATCAGAAGGAGACAGTCGTCATTTTTCAACCATGTTATTAGAAGAGGGGAAATGGAACATTTGGTGACCACTGGAAAGATCTGTGGAAGGAGGGATAGAGGAAGACAACGATAGAAGATTCTTGACAGTCTTGTTGCATGGCATGGAGGTGTGTCAGCACACGAACTGATGCATGCTGCAGGAGATAGTAGATTGTGGAGAGGCATGATCGCCCACGTCAGTCGGCAAGGCACCTGATGATGATGATACACTATTCGTATTCGTATTCGGCCGAATAGCTGGTCCCACTATTCGTATTCGGCCGAATAGTGAAAATTACTATTCGGTATAGCCCTAGTTTGAACGTTTGATCTGCTAGCGCAAACCTGTTAGCAGCAGTAATACAAGGACTTGCATCATACAGAGAAAATCTACGGCACGGGACTAGATCAGGTATACAGTCTGTCACAGAAAGTCACGTCGTTTTTAAACTTTTTTACCCTACTCACACACTTGCTGGACTGATAGGCATGCATCACCATAATGACCCTAATTTGTGATTTAAAAAAAAAAACGGAGAATAGAACTTGAACAAAGAAGACACAAACAATAGACTGCACAATTTATTGACTGGAATATTTCGCTGTATCTCGTCAGGTGCATACTACAGTAACAATTGATTAAAATGAAGCAAATAGCTGAATCTTAGAAACTGAAACATAAATTCAACTACATTCATGAACAGTTTGTTTACCCAAGGTAACCGTAAGGTAACGACCATTTCTTTTGCCTGCAAAGTTCTGGTTTCAACAGGCTGATCGCTGACGCTTCTGCATATCGGAGTAATCTTGGCCGAATTGTAAATAATTCGAAAGGCATCAACCTTGTTAACCATGTGCCCGGAATTTAGAATATGGCACGCAATTGCTGATGATGGATTTTGCCATTTTTTGGAACCAATTTCAGGCTAGGTGGTCCCTTTATCATGATGTGCCAATTAAAGGAGAATTGCCTGCTTTTGATACTTGAAACCCGTTCTCCCGTTATATCCGTTATATGTTTTCTTTCAAAACATATATATATGGCGCCTTTTATATGTATGTAATGCTCTGAACATTATATAGCAACTTATGCATGTGTTTCACAGTATACCAGTTATAACAGACTAAATGAGGCGACAGCTTTACATTATTTTTTTCTAAAGCCGTCGAACACTGAATCGAGACAGAATAATAATAGCTTTCATACTGCATTTTCCTTCTACCTGTCCTTTACTTCCGTCATACATTTATCCACGACTTTGTTTTCCTAGAAATGGAGTGCCAGCAATAAGTACAAAGTGTCTAAAATATGCTGGTGTCCATCATCAAGTCTCTATTACTACGACGCTAAAAACTCTCTCTCTTCTTCTCTCTCTTCCCTTATCTTCTATCTTTCTCTCTCTTCTTCCCCCTTCTTTTCCCTCCCCTTCTTTTCCTTCTTTCCCCCCCTCTTCTTCTCTCTTCTTCCCCCCTTCCCCCCCTTCTTCCCGAATTCTTCTTTCTGCCCTTTTTCTTTTTTTTCTTACTTCTTTCTCTCCTAAGCCTTCGGTTATTTCTTCTTCTCTTGTACTTTCTCGCAGAATTCTTATTTTTACCACCACTTCTTTTCCGATCATCACCTTCTTCTTCTCCTTCCTCCTTCTTCTTCTTCTTCTTCTTCTTTTTCTTCTTCTTCTTCTTCTTCTTCATCAATCTTCTTCTTCTTTTCTCCTCCTTCTTCTTCTTTTCTTCTTCTTCATCTTCTTCTTCCTTCTTCTTCTTCTTCTTTCTTCTTCTTCTTTCTTCGTCTTATTCTACGTCTTCTTCTCATCCTCCTTCTTCTTCCTCTTCTTCGTCTTCTTCTCCTCCTCATCCTTCTTCTTCTTCTTCTTCTTCCTCTTCTTCTCCCCCTCCTTCTTCTTTTTCTTCTCCTTCTCTCTTCTTCTTCTTCTTCTTCTCTTCTTCTTCTTCTTCTTCTTCTTCTTCTTCTTCTTCTTCTTCTTCTCCTCCTCCTCCTCCCCCTCCTTCAAGGAAGCTCGGAAATCAAAGCCCATGGCGATGGCGAGCGTGATTAGCAAGACCGGCTCGCGTTATTTAAAAAAAATGCCTCAACACTATTGTAGAGTAGACCTTGTGCTGCGAGATCATACATCATAGCTCTTCTCTCTGCCTGCATTGTTTACTCCGAAGGAAAGGTAACAATAAAAGTCATGATCTTGAACATGACACTATATAACAAACAAAAGAAAGGACAGCCAGTCTAGCAGCCCCATTTAGATGTGTGTGTGTATTTTTTATTTTTATTTGTCACATAGATGTAGTAATTCCTGTATTTGTCGATGCCCTAGAGTTTGTTAGTTTCTTCTTCTTCTTCTTCTTCTTCTTCTTCTTCTTCTTCTTCTTCTTCTTCTTCTTCTTCTTTCTGTTCCTGGAATACTTCGCTGCGTCAGAGCAGTGAATGTTGGCTGTAACTGATCTTCGTC